CTCCCTGCAGAAGTCATAAGGACACGGCTCCGTGAGGAGGGCACCAAGTACAAGTCCTTCATCCAGACGGCGCGCCTGGTGTTCCGGGAAGAAGGCTACCTCGCCTTTTATAGAGGACTCTTTGCCCAGCTCATCCGGCAGATCCCAAATACTGCCATTGTCTTGTCTACCTATGAGTTAATTGTGTACCTGTTGGAAGACCGTACTCAGTAACAGGCCAGAAAATTGTCCTCTAGAAGAATAAAACTGAAAAACTCTAGAGAATTTTTTTTTTCCATTGATGTTTAGAATGTTTGAGACAAAACAGGGAAGGCCATAAAATGTGTGGCTCATCTCACCTGTTGGACATTTCCTTTTGGATTCGTGCTTTCTGGAAGGTTTAAATTCATTAACGTTAATAGTTAATTATAACTTTTTTTTTTTTAACTTAAGAGGATTCAGGATTAAGCAACAACTAAATTAAATCATGCTATTTAATTTAAGTATACATTTGGTTCGTGTCCTCTTTTATGCCTGCTATACTGTAAACTGCAGCTGAGGAAGTATTTCAGTGAAACGTGCCCTAGAAATGCAGAGAAAAAAGGATAAAGTCAAAATACATCTAATCTGACTGGGACCTGTGACTGCCGGACAAGGAAGAAGTGGCGCGTCTTGGTGGTACTGTGTGTACCAGGACAGACTTCTGTACATTTCCAATTCCTCATACAGATTGATAATCTAAGGTTCAGGATGGTAAGATGAAAAAAAAATGAGTACAACTTTCTAACACTAACATGTTACGCTATAAAAGTTTCCCTGAAGCTATCCTCTTCTCCTTCATTGAAGCCAAAGGCAAGAGTTCTGAAAGAACTGGTTATCAGTTGCCTAGCTGCTGGATCTACTCCCAGAAGTTTAGCTCATGTGCCCTGTAAGTGTGTTAGCAGCACAGATGAGGAATAGCCGTTCCCTGGGAGGCCTTTCATCCTGCTCAGTCTCCTAGAGAAAAGGAGCACACCCCTGGGAGAGTTTGCTTTTATTCTGACAGGAGGTGCTAGTATTGTTTAAATACCCAAGGTCAAAGTTTAAAAAAAATTTATCAGAATTTTAACACCTCATTTTTAAAGCCAACTTAATAAAAGAACAAAAAGACGGTTAGGTAATAAGACAGCAGGTAGAGCCAGTCGTCTTCCCTTAGTTTCACTAAGGTCGAGTATGTTGAACAGGAAGGGTATTTTTCAATCTGACCAGACGGGCTGTTTCTAATACTGCCCATTGTAGTCAGACTCAAGGAGGATATTTCCAAGTTGTATTTAAATTGAGTTGAATTTTGTTTCCCTTTGTATACTCAATGGGGGGGTTCGCTGGTATTCTCCCACTGTCTAGTATAGTTGTTTCCACAACTTGTCTAGAAGTCAAAATGAGTGGCTTAAGTCAAGCTTTAGTGCTTCTAAAACGCATGACTTGACAGTAAGGTGATTTCTATTCCAGAAACTCTTTAATTCTTTGAGGGGTGGCACTTAGTAACATCTTAATATTCACATTTTTATTTTAATACTCATGTTTGATGATGACACTTAGCAAGACAGAATCTCACTTTGTCACCCTCCATAGAGTGCTATGGTGTCACAGCTCACGGTAACCTCAAACTCTTGGGTTCAAGTGATTCTTTTGATGCTCTTGTCTCCCAAATTAGCTGGGTTATCTGCCACAAGGCCCAGCTGGGGGGTTTTTTGGCCAGGGCCGGGTTTGAACCTGCTACCTCTGGTATGTGGGGCCACAGCCCTACTCCTTTAAGCCACAGGCACCACCCAAGGCCTGACTATTTTTTAGAGATAAGGTCTCACTCTGGCTTAGGCTGGTCTCAAATTCATGTACTCAGGCAATCAACCCACCCTGGCCTCCCAGAGTGCTAGGATTAAAGGCATGAGCCACTATGCCTGGCCTTCCTTTTTTTTTCTTCTTTGTTTTTTTTTGGGGTTTTTTGAGACAGAATCTTAACTTTGTTGCCTGCTAGTCAGCCTAGCTCCAGCAACCTCGAGGTTCAACCTTGAACCCAGCAACATTGGGTTCAAGTGATCCTCCTGCCTCAGCTTCCCTAGCAACTGGGACTACAGTTGCCCACAATGCCCAGTGAGTCTCTGTCTCAAAACAAATTTTTTTTGATTGCCTCATTTTCACTGTTAGATTCTTAAATGGTTAACTGTGATGTTGACCTAGTATAATTTAGTTCTTGGCTTCTCCTGCACCAGGACATTTGAAATAAAAGAAACTTGAGCACCAAAAATGAGAAGGAAATAAGCAGAAAAGGAGTGGTAAAGGGGCTTGTTGGATTTTCTTTTTAATTTTTTTTTATTTTTTAGAGACAGTCTCACTTTGTTACCCTGGGTAGAGTGTCATGGCATCACAGCTCACAGCAACCTCCAGCTCTTGGCTTAGGTGATTCTCTTGCCTCAGCCTCCCCGAGTAGCTGGGACTATAGGCACCTGGCTATTTTTTGTTACAGTTTGGCTGGGGCTGGGTTTGAACCCACCACCCTTGGTATATGAGGCTAGTGCCCTAGGTACTAGGTATACCACAAGCACCACCCTGGATTTCTTTAAGTAGTCATATGTGCACATACATGTGACTACTTACACTTTTATTTTCTTTTTTGAGACAAGAGTCTCACTTGGTCACCCTTGGTAGGGTGCCATGGCATCTTAGCTCATAGCAACCTCAAATTCTTGGGTTCAAGTGATAACCTCTTGCCTCAGTTTCTCAAGTAGCTGGGAATACAGGGCACCCACTACAAAGCTATTTTTTAAAGATGGGGTCTCAATCTGGCTTAGGCTGGTCCTGAACCTGTGAGCTCAGGCAATCCACCCACCTCAGCCTCCCAAGTGCTGGGATTACAGGCATCAGCCACCGAGCCTGGCCTCACATTACCCCTTTTAAAATTCTCACCCCATACCCAGTGCATGCCCAGCACTGTGTAGTGGCAAACACATTCCACAGGGCAATGGCATTAAGATCTATAAGTACACAGGTGGCGCTACTAATCAAGGTGTGCTTCAACTAATAGTGCATGTGAAGGAATTGGCACACACGTTAGAGGAGAGCCCTTCGAGTAGGACATGCAAGCACTGGATCTTCCTTGGAGAGGGAATGATGGCTTACACACAGTGCTGCGGGGTCTGAGGGGAGCTACGCCAGGTTATTCCTCCATCTGCTCATGACGGGTCCAAGCATCAAGACTGCAACTGGGGCTCGGCGCCTATAGCTCAACCGGCTAAGGCGCCAGCCATGTACACCTAAGGTGGTGGGTTCGAATCCCCAGCCCGGACCTGCCAAACAACGACGGCTGCAACCAAAAAATAGCCAGGCGTTGTGGCGGGC